TACCTGATGGTTATTTTCTAATATACGGTGATAGAGCTTGGCCTGGTATTCCTTTTCGTCCCATAGGAGGACCATGTTACATTGGGAAATTAACCATGTTTGCACCTGCCATGCGCGACCTAGTAAAACAGACAAATAACATTTGAATCAAAAGGGAACTCAAAGATTTGGCACCTGACTGTAATGACAATGTAAATCTTGGAACAATAGGTGGAGCCATTGCCTTATCGTTTTTCCTACCAGGAGGCATGGCAGCAGCAAATTGGAGGAAAATTAAAACCTTGGCGTGCTGGGTCGTAAAACAATTTAACTCTACTTCTGAAATATTAACTGTTTTAGTTAGTGATGTAAATAGCTTAAGACATGCAGTTTTGCAAAAAAGAGCAGTCATTGAATTTCTGCTTTTAGCACATGGGCATGGGTGTCAGGATTTTGAAGGAATGTGTTGCATGAATCTATATGATCATTCGCAGAGCATACAGAAACAATTACAAAAGCTTAAGGAACACATGCATCATGTAAAACAAGGATCTGTGGGACTAGATGCCTGGCTGGCGTCTTGGGGAGTAGGAGGTTGACTAACAGATATACTTAAACAAGGACTGTCTATACTCGTTTTCATTCTGATTTTATTACTTATTTTTTTTACGTGTCTTCAGGATTGTATTATTCGTAGCCTTAATTCTATGCTTAGGCGAAAGGGGGGAAATGTTGGGGCCTTAGCAGTTTTACACGAATATGCTGAGTTCTGAAAAGGTCAGGAGTTGACCGTTAGACAAACAAGAGTAAGTTTATGGTTAAAGGAATGCAGAGGTCAGCAGAAAGTGGGATGTGAAAAACAGTGATAACAGAAACCTTTTCCAGGAATGTGTGCTTTAAGACCACCAATTGATGGACTGCCTGAGGTACGTGAACAATGTATGCTAACCACTCATAATAGCATGCTGTCCTCGTGATCGCATGTCAAGGACTCAAAAGAATATGTATTGTGTGGTCTTTGGATAATAAAACAGATTTGAATCTGCATCTCATATATGTGTCGTTCTTTCTCGCTCGCTTGGAAGCTCGCAGCACTGACTCGTTTAGTCTAGGAGGAATTTTCGTTCTTACTCCATCTGGGGACCCAGACATGCCATTTCAGCGCTGGGCACCGGTCACCAAACCAATGAAGTTCTAGCCAGGAAAAAAAACCCTTATCCTCCAAGTCTCCTCTGCAATTGGTGAGGCACCCTTGGCACTCCATGCACAGATGGACCTTCCTGTTCTGGCAGCTTTTGTCTGGAAGGAATCTACGTTCCTAGGCCATCTGGGGACCCAGACCACAAAAACAATGAACTTCCAGCCAGGAAAAAATGCCGTAAGCCTTCGACTCTTTTGTGCAATTGGTGATGCACCCATGGCACTTAATGCACACATGGAGCTTACTCGCTGACTCATTTAGTCTGGGAGGAATTTTCGTTCTTAGTCCATCTGGGGACCCAGACCCATTTCCGGCGCAGATCTCGGGCCACCAAACCAATGAAGTTCCAGCCAGGAAAAAAAGCCCTTAGCCTCCAAGTCTCCCGAGCAATTGGTGAGCCACCCTTGGCACTTCATGCACACATGGAGCTTCCTGCGCTGGTTCCTGTGTTCTGGGAGGAATCTTGGTTTTTAGCCCATGTTTGGCAACGATGGGTCATTTCAGCACCAGACTTCACACACAGAGCCAATGAAGTTCCAGCCCGGAAGAAAAACCCTTACCTTTCAAGCCTCCTTTTCAACTGGATGGATACCCAGACATGCTATTATAGCGCAGATCTCGAACCACCAAACCAATGAACTTCCAGATAGGAAAAAAAGTGGTTCGTCTCCAAATCTCCTCTGCAATTGGTGAGTCACTCTGGGCACTCCATGCACACATGGAGCTTCCTGCGCTGGCACCTTTGGTCTGGGAAGATTACTCATTCTTAGTCCATCTGGGGACCCAGAATGGTCATTTCAGCGCTGGGCTCTGGTCACCAAACCAATGAAGTTCCAGGTAGGAAAAAAAGCCCCTAGCCTCCAAGTCTCCTGTGCAATTGGTGAGTCACCCTTGGCACTCCATGCACACATGCAGTTTCCTGCGCTGGCTCCTGTGTTCTGGGAGGAATCTTCATTCTTAGTCCATTTGGGGACCCAGACTGTTACAAGAATTTTGAATTAGCAGTAGTATAGCTAAAGGTCTCTGTATAGAACAGGCCTGTGAGGCCCCAAAAAGATTGGAATGTGCTAGCCATGCAACAGTAAGAAGAAACAATTATCAAAAGAGGAACTGAAGCATAGAGAACATAGTTTTCTAATCTACTGATGACTTGCACCTGGGTTGTGGGAGTTAGTTAAATGAATTTTAGAGTTAGGCAACTGAGGATGATTTATGATGACCTAGTTAGGAGTTAATTATTTGGATGAAATATTAAGTTTCAGTATGCACTTTGATGTAGTAACTTAGCAAATGTCTTTGTTTGTCTGAGTGTATAAAAGATGTACTCAGAATGAGGGTCTTTTGGGATTCTGGCTTTGGACTTTAGTCCACAGGTCCCCTGGGCCCATAATAAAGCACCGGCATTAACTAACACTCTGTTGGTTTGTGCTTCTTATCGTGGCGGGCAACAGTCTTCTTGACGACCCAGATGGGACTCCGGTCGGCAGCCAGGTGAATTCCTGGGGAGACATCATTCTGTGCCCGACCCCCGCGCCCGTCAGACAACCATTCCAGGTAAACCCGAAGGTGCTTTATTTTCTTAGGGGTTATAAGCCTGCCTATAAGACGAGTTTGTGTATACTCGCTGGGTTGGGCTGAGAGAGGTATTTCTTGGGGAAGCCTAGGCACTGGTCGTAAGACGCGGCGAAAGCTGCGCTGAGCCAGCATTTACCGTATACTGGATTTTGGCAAATTGGTTGTGGGAACAAGTTACGTAACTGTTTGTGGTATTTCACTGCTTGTGGCATTTTATTTTTTTGTGGTATCTGCTGTTTGTGTGAGTGTGTTGTGCTATTGTGGGTATGATGCCTTTTAAAACCTTTAGAGCATTGTCCTGTTCTGAAACTAATATTCCTGATGATTCTCCGCTTGGTCGCATACTAAAACACTGGAAGGAGGGGAATTTTGGGCAGGAACTAAGTAAAAAGCAACTAATTGACTATTGTAATAATGTGTGGCCACAGTATAATACTGAAGGGATGCAGTGACCGAAGAACGGCACTATGACACTAGAGATAATGTCTCCTTTACTGCAATATTTAAAAGACAATGATCTATGGGACGAAATACCATATCTAGATTTATTTTATTATTTGAGACGTAAACCTGAGTGGCAGAATGGCTGTGGTGTGCTGGTGTTAAAAGCATCGAATGACGAGTGCGTGGGATGCAAGGAGCGAAAGGCACGGTTTGCTGAACCGGAGGAAGATATTGCTTTGTTAGTCTCTCCGAGCCTTACCCCTACCCCGCCCCCATTGAGAGCAGCCCCCACTCCTACCGTGCCCCCATTGAGAGCAACTCCCTCACGTAGGCGAGATTCGCCCCCACCTGTGCCCCCATCATCCTCGGATGAGGAGGAAAAGGAGCACACTGATAGGACCCCGTTAGCGGGACGGACTTGTAGGGGAAGGAAAGAACGGGGAAGGAGTCGGGAGCGGAGACATGGAAGCGAGGGGAGGGCTGTGTCGCCCTTGCCCCGAAATTAATGGTCCCTCTGTGAGAGGCAGTGGGGGCAGGAGGAGCGCGGGTCATGGTAAAAGTACCTTTTTCGCCAAATGATTTATTAATTTGGAAGCAATCAGCAGGAGCGTATAGAGAAAATCCTGAGCGTGTGGTGCGTGTTGTTAAAATGGTTATAAAAACTCAGAATCCGGACTGGAATGATTTGCAAGTTTTATTGGATACAATCCTAGATTCTACTGAAAAAGAAATGGTATTGCGAGTAATGGTTGAGAGAGCCAGAGAAAAGATTCGCGCGCAGCCTGGGCAGGGAACAGTTAATGATTTAGTACCTCGAGAGGACCCTGAATGGAATCCTAATGCTGCAGGCGACTATCATAGGTTAAAAGTTTATCAAGATTTGTTGGTAGAAGGAATTCGAAGCGGAATTCCAAAGACTTTAAACTGGTCTAAGCTATATTCTGTGCGGCAGGATAAGGCGGAATCCCCCTCTGCCTTCCTAGAAAGACTGAAGGAGACAGCTAGAAAATATACAGACTTGGACGTAGAAGCAGAGTCAGGGAAGTTACAGTTGGCTTTGATTTTCATGGGACAGTCCCAGGAAGATATTAGGAAGAAATTGCAGAAATTAGAAGGCGAAGAGACGCGGAATTTAGAAAAATTGTTAGAAGTGGCTTGGAAAGTGTATAATAATCGTGAAAAGGAGCAAACTAAGAAGCAGCAAGAGAGCATGTTAGCAATTTTGCAGGCGGCTGGGGGAAACTATAACAGAGGAAATAGAAGCAGGGGTCGTGGAAACAGAGGCAGGGGGGTTGGAAGAGGTTTTAATAACCAGAGTGGATTTGGATTCCAGGGTGGACGTGGAAAGATAGGGTTAAATCAGTGTGCACTATGCAAGGGTCAGGGACATTGGAAAAATGAATGCCCCTTAAATGCGGGGGTAGGGATGAATTCATTAGTCGGGAACATGCAGGGCGCGGGTAATGGGACGCCACAAGGTGTCGCTCAAGCATTTATGTTGCAAAACTACCAGAGTCAGAGCTGACTAGTCCGAGACCTAAAGGTTGTCCTGGAAATAGAAGGAGAACCTATGGAATTTCGCGTAGATACGGGAGCTAGTTTTTCAGCAATGAATCGGTTAATGGGTCCTTTAAGTAATTCAACTGTCCGTGTTGTGGGTGTATCGGGACAAGCAGAGGAACGTGCATTCTTGAGGCCACTGGATATCAAATTTAGAGGGAAACAATTGGATCACCAATTTCTTTATATGCCTAATAGCCCAGAGTGTTTGTTAGGGAGAGATTTATTGTCCTTCTTACAGGCTACTATAGTGTTTGAAAACGGAAGGGTCAAACTAGAAATCCCGGAAGAAAATGTGGCACAAATATTTACTGTAAAGGAAATAGAAACAGAAGAAATTCCTCAGGAAATAGAACATGCAGTTGTCCCTTGGGTGTGGGAGACCGGGGTCCCGGGCTTATCTAAAGCAGCAGTTCCAGTAGTGATAGAACTTAAAGAAGGAGCACAACCAGTACGAATTAAACAATATCCAATTAGTTTAGAAGCGAGAAGGGGGGTAGCACCTCTAATTGAACAAATTATAGTTCTTGGAATATTAAAAGAGTGTGAATCAGAATTTAATACACCAATCTTTCCAGTCAGGAAACCAAATGGGAAATACAGACTAGTACAAGATCTCAGGGCAGTCAATCTTTTAACCAAGGACATTCACCTGGTGGTTGCAAACCCATATACCTTGTTAACATCTGTTTCTGAGAAATTTCAGTGGTTTTCAGTAATAGATTTGAAAGATGCATTCTTCTGCATACCATTGGCACTGGAGAACTGGCACTTTTTCGCCTTTGAGTGGGAAAATCCCGACACGGGGAGGAAAAGACAACTTACCTGGACGCGTCTACCACAGGGATATAAATCTTCGCCTACAATATTTGGTAATCAGCTAGCAAAAGAACTTGAAGAGTGGAAGACATCACAGGTAAAAGACTCTCCTTTTTCCTACATAGTATTGCAATATGTAGATGACATCCTTCTGGGTACAGAAGGACGAGAGCTGTGTTACAAGCTAACCAATGAACTGCTAAACATGTTAGGCCAAGCAAGTTACCGAGTTTCAAAGGAAAAGGTCCAATTAGTTAAACAAAAAGTTATCTACCTGGGTTGCGAGATTTCCCAAGGAGTTCGGCGATTAGGCACAGAGTAAAAACTATCTGTGCTATCCCGGCCCCACGGAATAATCAGGAATTGAGATCTTTTCTAGGAATGATCGGCTGGTGCCGACTATGGATTCCTGACTTCGGACTCCTCGCTAGACCGCTGTATGAAGCAGTGAAGGAGTCGCAGCTAGTTTGGAGACGGGCACAGGAAAAGGCATTCCAGGACTTAAAGAAAGCTCTGCGGGAAGCACCTGCTTTGGGACTGCCTGACATAACAGAAGATTTCCAGCTGTATGTCTGCGAAAGACAACGGTTGGCTCTGGGAGTACTCACACAACGACTGGGATCCTGGAAGAGACCCGTTGGTTCCTTTTCAAAGCAACTGGACACTGTAAGTGGGGGTTGGCCTGGGTGCCTCAGAGCAGTAGCAGCAACGGTGATATTGATCCAGGAAGCACATAAACTGACTCTGGGAAGGCATATTACAGTTTACGTGCCACATATGGTCATAGCAGTCCTGGAACAGAAAGGGGGACATTGGCTCTCCTCCAGCAGAATGTTACAATACCAGGCCCTGCTTAGGGAACAGGATGACATTGAATTAAAAGTTACTAACCATCTCAATCCGGCCGAGTTTCTCAGGTCCGCCCAGGAAGAGGGAGTCCTGGAACATGACTGCATGGAGACAATCGAGCATGTCTATGCTAGTCGAAAGGACTTGAAGGATGAACCACTGGAGAACCCGGACTGGGAACTGTTTACAGGTGGATCAAGCTTCGTGGAAAATGGTACCAGGTATGCAGGGCACACGGTGGTAACTCTACAGGAAGTCGTGGAAGCAAAGGCATTACCCCCGGGAACATCAGCACAAAAAGCTGAGATATGGGCATTAGTAAGAACCCTAATCCTGAGTCAAGAAAAGAGAGTTAACATCTGGACTGACTCAAAGTATGCTTTTGGAGTAGTCCACGTACATGGGGCATTGTGGAAGGAGAGAGGGTTGCTTACTTCACAAGGGACAGCAATTAAACATCGGGAAGAAATCTTTCAGCTACTAAAGGCAATACACAAACCGTCAGCTGTAGCCATAATGCACGTGAAGGGACACCAGACCAGTTCGGAACCAGAGTCTCAAGGAAACAGATTGGCAGACCAAGCAGCACGACGGGCAGCTACACAGGTATGGACTCAAATGGCTTTGCTACCAACTCGTGATAACCCAGCAGCAGTACACATGGAAGAAAAGCCCCATTACACACCGGAAGATGAAAAGTTGGCCCATATGATGGAAGCAAAGAAAAATGTAAAAGGATGGTATATTACCCCTACTGGACAGGTAATACTGCCAATCAGAATAATGAAGACAGTGCTTGAAATCGAGCATGGTAAGTGCCACTGGGGTGCAGAAGCAATGGTTAAATTTCTGAGAAATAAAATTTTCTCAAATCAGATGTTAACACTGGCTAAGAGGGTGAATGCGACATGCCCAGCATGTATTAAAAACAATCCAATAGTGAGGAAACAGGTACAAATGGGAAAACTTCAAATTGGACAACTTCCAGGAGATTACTGGCAGGTAGACTTTTCTGAATTGCCAAGGGCTCAGACATACAAATATTTGCTGGTGTATGTGTGTACCTTTTCAGGGTGGTCAGAAGCTTTTCCATGTAGAACTAACCAGGCTAAGGAAGTAGTAAAGACTCTTCTGAAAGAAATTATTCCGAGGTTTGGAGTACCATTAGGATTGTCTTCAGATAGAGGGCCACACTTTATTGCAGGGGTTGTACAGGACTTAGCCACAGTGTTAGGAATAGTATGGAATCTCCACACCCCGTGGAGACCACAATCTAGTGGGCAGGTAGAAAGGATGAATCAGACCCTGAAAAACCAATTAAAGAAAATTTGTCAAGAAGCGAAAATTCAGTGGCCCCAAGCTTTGCCTCTTGCTCTGTTGAGAATTAGGATTAAACCTAGGGAAAGAATTGGGGTAAGCCCATACGAGATTCTGTACGGAAAACCATACCATGCTGCAACGTATCAGGGTGACCCTCATGTAGTAGGAGACCAAGCTGTGTTTAACTATATCTTGTCTCTAAATAAGACTCTTGTAGCGTTTTGGGGAGCCTTACAGTGGAATCGACCTTTACCTCTGGAGAACCCAGTGCATGACATTTCTCCAGGAGATCAGGTCTACGTGAAGAATTGGTCGGTAGAACCACTGAAGGAAACATGGGACGGCCCCCGCCAGGTGTTGATGACAACCTATACAGTTGTCAAGGTCGAAGGCATTGACAACTGGATTCACTACACGAGGGTCAAGAAGGTCCCCGTGCAGTGGGTTGCAGAATCCATCACGCCGACCGGAACGGTGTTCCGGGCGGTCCAATAAGACTCATAGTGCGAATAGTAATTCTGTTACTGTTAATAGGTACCACTGATGCAGGTGTTACAATTACTGTGTCTAATCCTTTCGTTCTAGTGCCTGAAGGAACAAGTGTAAATCTGACCTGTTTGTTTTCTGATAACCGGGAAGCTGAATGGGATGATGTGCATGTTTGGTGGCGATGGATGGATCAGGACCATGATATAACCGAAGGTGTGACCACGGTATGGAACAGGACGCAGCAAAAGGGCTATACCGTCTTGCAGGTACCCACTGTGACTCCTGAGGTCGATGGTGTGTATTCTTGCATAGTGTGGGTTCGAATGAGTTTTGATTACGAGTATGCAAGTATACACACGTTTAATTCCACACATAATAGGGACTCAGGCATACAGATACCCCTTCATCTGCAAGTTGATACATGGCATGGCCCTCCTCTACGGATTAATTGCGCGTTTAAATTGAGCTATCCATGCTATGAGAACCTTGACCTTAAATGGTGGAAAATAAACATGACAACTGGAATGTGGGAAAGGCAAACTGAGGGAATTAGCTGGTGGTCTGGCGAGGAGAATGGAAGAGGTTGGTTAAATATTTCAAATCCAGAAGTAGGAGAGACTGAAAGTACCTTTGTATGTGTTGTCTCTTGTGACGAGGAAGAGAATTATGGGATCAGGACAGTTAGAAGTGTGCCATATCAAGGTCAGGAAATCCAACCAGAACAGGAAAGTTATACCATAGCAGAAGGAGGAAATGTTACCCTGAGTTGCAAAATTCGGAGACAGTTTTTCTCGGATTATGGTTGGTGGTTCAAAGGTTATAACTTACAGAATGATTCTAAATATCACATTGAGCAGGGGCCACAGAGTATTGCCCTAACAATTCAACAGACAAAAAGAGGGCAGGATGAAGGACAATACATTTGCTGGATAAGTAAAGATGACTGGTGGGGAACAGGAGTGACCTCTGTTTATGTAAAAACTGTGCGAATGACTCGACAGACCCATACATCACAGGTTCCACGAATCCCACACATTTCCTATACAGGAACCAAGCAAGAAAATTTAATAGTTGGACTAATTAGAGATTTTGGAATGGTTCAAAATGTCTCTAGAATTACTGCATGCCTTCCACTGCCACACGCGGCTGGGGACCCGATCCCATGGGGAATAATACCAGTTCCAGAACTCCCGAGACTATTTGTTAATACCACGTGGAGTTGTAAGTTTTTAACTAAACCTCACCCAGTAACGATAGATGGATGTCTTTATGGAAGTGTTAAAACCCGAGAGCAATGTGAACAGTTGCCAGGATTCCTCAAGTGGATAGACAGAAGTATGCATGGCTTGTTGGGACAGTGTATAGTTTCCCCCTCTATTAGTAGCGTAGACACCTGTGTAAGGGTGTAAGTCCAAATGGATGAGGGAAAATTGGAACAAAAGTGTCAAAATAACACTACTCCTGCTACTCTAGAAAAGTGGCAAACAATTTGGGGACCTAGTTTATTAAAAACCTACAGCTATTTAGGGAAAGTACAATGGTGCATTCATTGGGTAGGTTCTAAAAACCAAAATTACTCTTTTCTACATTCAAAACATAAACAATGGCGGCAAATACTCTCACCTACAGATTTATGGAATTGCACTCGAATTTACACATGTGACACTCCCAATGGTGACGTAGGTTTAATCCCAGTACGAATTCAGTTAAGATTGGGTTGTGAGTGCCGGGGATACAATCACTCCATAATAGGTTATAATAGCTCACGTAGTGTAGATTGTCTCACCACCACTGTGAGCAGCCCAGGAAATCTAGTTTGGGTAATGGGACATGGACAATGGACCACTCATATGCCTGTAGATGGCCCTGCGACGCAAATCACCTTAGGAGTTCCTACCCTATGCCCTTATTGGAAAACAGAGGAATTGACCACTACAGATATTCAACCTAGGCGAAAAAGGGCCTTCGAGCAAAACCCAGATGAGTGGCATGACCCATCATCTGGAGTTAAATTTGGATGGGCATTAGAGTCCTTGTTTGCACCGATTGCATCTTATCATAATAGAGAGATGCTGTTCAAATTAATGAGTCAAACGGAAAGATTGGCAGCGGCTACCAAAAAGGGATTTAAGGACATGAATATCCAATTACAAGCGACTACTCGCATGACTATACAAAACCGAATGGCATTAGATTTATTTCTATTAAAGGAACACGGAGTTTGTGGTTACCTGCATGCACGGGATGAACACTGCTGCATCCACATTCCAAATGTCACACATGAGGTTGAAAATGATATTTCTCAGTTAGAACAAATTGAAGGAAATGTGCAAAATTTACAAAAAGATGCAGAGCATAACTGGATTGGTGAAATATTCAGCTCCCTTGGTTTAAATGTTTCTGGATGGCTATCCTCAATTATTCAGTATGTTATAATGTTTGGAATTATAATCCTTATTGCTTTGATTGTATATAAGTGTCTCCTAGGACTGATTGTAAAAGAAGGGCAGCACACTCGTCGAATCATCATGGCAGTAACCCGGAAAGAGGCCATCCTCCCCAATGGCGAGTCTTCTGATCAGCGCGACTCTTCTGATCAACGCGAAACTTCGATTTAGATAATTTGAGCATCCTTGCAATTGAAGATTGAAGAATGCTCAAAAGGGGGGACTTGTTACAAGAATTTTGAATTAGCAGTAGTATAGCTAAAGGTCTCTGTATAGAACAGGCCTGTGAGGCCCCAAAAAGATTGGAATGTGCTAGCCATGCAACAGTAAGAAGAAACAATTATCAAAAGAGGAACTGAAACATAGAGAACATAGTTTTCTAATCTACTGATGACTTGCACCTGGGTTGTGGGAGTTAGTTAAATGAATTTTAGAGTTAGGCAACTGAGGATGATTTATGATGACCTAGTTAGGAGTTAATTATTTGGATGAAATATTAAGTTTCAGTATGCACTTTGATGTAGTAACTTAGCAAATGTCTTTGTTTGTCTGAGTGTATAAAAGATGTACTCAGAATGAGGGTCTTTTGAGATTCTGGCTTTGGACTTTAGTCCACAGGTCCCCTGGGCCCATAATAAAGCACCGACATGAACTAACACTCTGTTGGTTTGTGCTTCTTATCGTGGCGGGCAACAAGACAAGTAATTTCAGCACCGGGCTTCAGACACTAAACCAATGAAGTTCCAGCCAGGAAAAAATGCCTTAAGCCTCCGACTCTCCTGTGGAATTGGTGATGCACCCATGGCACTTAATGCACACATGGAGCTTGCTGCGGTGACTCATTAAGTCTGGGAGGAATTTTTGTTCTTAGTCCATCTGGGGACCCAGACATGCCATTTAAGTCCTGGGCCCTGGTAACCAAACCAATGAAGTTCCAGCCAGGAAAAAAAAGCCTTTAGCCTCCAAGTCTCCTGTGTAATTGGTGAGTCACTCTCGACACTTAATGCACTTATGGAGCTTCCTGCGCTGGCAGCTTTTGTGTGGGAGGAACCTACATTCCTAGTCCCTCTGGGTACCCAGGCGTGCCATTATGGCACAGATCTCCATTCACCAAACCAATGAAGTTCCAGCCAGGAAAAAAAGCCTTATCCTCCAAGTCTCCCATGCAATTGGTGAGTCACTCTTGGCACTCCTTACACACATGGAGCTTCCTGTCCTGTGCCCTTTGTTCTGGGAGGAATCTTTGTTCTTAATCCATGTGTGGACCGAGAAGCATCATTATGGCTCAGATCTCTATCCACCAAACCAATGCAGTTCTAAGCAGGTAAAAAAGCCCTTAGCTTAGAAGCCTCCTGTGCGATTGGTGAGCCACCCTTGACACTCCATGCGCACATTGAGTTTCCTAGACTAGTTCCTTTTTTCTAAGAGGAATCTTCATTCTTAATCCATCTGGGCACCCAGAATGGCCATTTCAGCGCTTGTCTCTTGAAACCAAACCAATGAAGTTCCAGCCAGGAAAAAAAGGTTTTAGCCGCCAAGTCTCCTGTGAAATTGGTGAGTCTCCCTTGGCACTCCATGCACACATGGAGGTTCCTGCGCTGCCTCCTTTGTTTTGGGAGGAATCTTCGTTCTTAGTCCATTTGGGGACCCAGAAGAGTAATTTCTGCACCGGGCTTCCGACACCAAACCAATGAAGTTCTAGCCAGGAAAAAATGCCTTAAGCCTCCGACTCTCCTGGGGAATTGGTGATGCACCCATGGCATTTAATGTACACATGGAGTTTGCTGCGCTGACTCATTAAGTCTGGGAGGAATTTTCGTTCTTAGTCCATCTGGGGAGCCAGACCCTTTCCGACGCAGATCTTGCACCACCAAACCAATGAAGTTCCAGTCAGGAAAAAAAGCACTTAGTCTCCAAGTCTCCAGTGCAATTCCAGAGCCACCCTTGGCACTCAATGCACACATTGGTTTTCCTATGCTGGTTCCTTTTTTCTGGCAGGAATCTTAATTCTTATTCCATCTGGTGACCCAGACATGCCATTCTAGCGGTGGGCTCCGGTCACCAAACCAATGAAATTCCACCCAGGAAAAAAGCCCTTAGCCTCCAAGTCTCCTGTGCAATTGGTAAGTCACCCTTGCCACTCCATGCACACATGGAGTTTCCTGCGCTGGCAGCTTTTGTCTGGGAGGAATCTACGTTCTTAGTCCATTTGGGGGCCCAGACAAGTAATTTCAGCACGGGTCTTCAGACACCAAACCAATCAATTTTCAGTCAGGAAAAAATGCCTTAAGCCTCCGACTCTCCTGTGGAATTGGTGATGCACCCATGGCACTTAATTCACCCATGGAGCTTGCTGCGCTGATTCATTTAGTCTGGGAGGAATTTTCGTTCTTAGTCCATCTGGGGACCCAGACATGTCATTTCAGTCCTGGGCCCTGATAACCAAACCAGTGAAGTTCCAGCCAGGAAAAAACCCCTTAGCCTTCAAGTCCCCTGTGCAATTGGTGAGTCACCCTTTGCACTCCATGCACTTATGGAGCTTCCTGCGCTGGCAGCTTT